CAGCCGTGCGTCCTTTGGGGGAGGCTCCACCTGCTCGAAACAGGTGCCAAAAAGCAGCCAATGTCTACTCTTAAGTCGGGCGTGTCCCCCTACAGGGGGATTTTCAACGACCAAAAATACTCCACAATGGCCAAAAAATGCTCACAAAATAGTCGCCAGACTATTTTTTGACTCTTTTTGAATTTCCCCCCTGTAGAGGGACAGGCCCGACTCAAGTCTACTCCATGGGGGAAGGGGAACAGGGGGGGGGCTGCGAGGGCCCGCGCCGATCGGCAGAACAACGAACAAGAAAACAAAGAAAACGGGGATCCAGGCCCGAAACAGGCCCAACAAGCCCGCTTCGGGGATCGGCCATGGGCCCGAAAGGGCCTGTTTCGGGGATCGGCCATGGGCCCGAAACAGGCCCAGGCCGATCCCCGAAACAGGCCCAGGCCGATCCCCGATGGGCCGATCGGCGAAACATCGGCCCGAAACATCGGCCCGAAACACGCCTGGGCCTGTTTCGGGCCTGTGGCCCTCGGGCCGGGCCCCGGCGGCCCCCGGGCCCGGGGCACGTGGCTCGCGCGCTCCGAGGGCTCCGTGGGCCGTGGGGGCTCGGCTGCTTCCCCGGCCTCCGGGGCCGTCCACGTGCCGTCGGACCGGCTCCCTGGCATCCCCTCCTTTTGCCCCTCCTGGGGTTCAACCCTGGCCCCTCACCCATACCTCCTCCTCCTCCTCTTCCTCCTCCTCCTCCTCCTCCTCCTCCTCCTCCTCCTCCTCCTCCTCCTCCTCCTCCTCCTCTGGGGGGCCTCCTCCTCCTCCTCCTCCTCCTCCTCCTCCTCCTCCTCCTCCTCCTCCTCCTCCTCCTCCTCTGGGGGGCCTCCTCCTCCTCCTCCTCCGGAGCCGTCCACGTGCCGTCGGCCCGGCTCGGCAACGGATCGGATCGCCAGCGAATGACTCCGACGCGGATCGGCGTGGGATCGCCGCGCCTGGCTCCGGCTGGCCGCGGCCGGTGCCCCGACGACGACGACGACGACGAGGGGGCCTCGGGCCTCGGCACAACGGCTGGACTCGGCTCGACCTCCTCCTCCTCCTCCTCCTCCTGCTTCTCCTCCTCCTCCTCCTCCTGCTTCTCCTCCTCCTCCTCCTCCTCTCCTCTTGCTCCTCCTCTTGCTCCTCCTCTTGCTCCTCCTCCTTCTCCTCCTCCTCCTCCTCCTCCTCCTCCTCCTCCTTCTCGTCCTCCTCCTCCTCGTCCTCCTCGTGTCGTCGTCGTCTCCTCCTCCTCCTCTTGCTCCTCCTCCTCCTCCGCTCCTCCTCCTCCTCCTCCTCCTCCTCCTCCTGCTCCTCCTCCTCGTGGTCGGTATCGCAGAGCATCGCATCGAATCGGATCGTGGGCGGCCCCGTCCAGGTGGCGGCCAGCAGAGTAGGAGTGCGCCGGGCCCGTGCGGCGAAGCCGTGCGGATAGAGCTTCTCGATGACCGGTCTCCGCTCGCCTGGCAGCAGCGAGGCTCGCCAGTTCATGTCCAGTTGCACGCGGTGCAGGCTGTGCTGTGCGTCCTGTGCGAGCTTGAGAGCGTCCCAGGCGAGGAGGAGGAGGAGGAGGAGGAGGAGGAGGAGGAGGAGGAGGAGGAGGAGGAGGAGGAGGAGGAGGAGGAGGAGGAGGATGACAACGGGAGAGGAGGGGGGGAGGGGCGGAGGAGAAGGAGGGGTCTGAGGATGATGCTGCTGCTGATGCTGCTGCTGATGATGCTGTTGATGATGATGATGCTTTGCTGTTGCTAATGATGATGGGCATCATGATGATGACGATGATGATGCTGTTGACGATGATGCTGGTGATGATAATGGTGATTCTGGTGATGCTGCTGCTGCTGATGATGCTGCTGAGGTGGAGGTGGAGGATGAGGGGGACGGACACACCCCAGTGAAGCGTTCCGAATCTGACGCGCGGGGGCAGGGCGCTGGGCGGCCCCGCCGCACCACCGTGCCGCTGTGACGCGCACGGGGGGCGGACGGGAGCTGGCGAAGGGCAGGCAGGGCGGAGCGGCAACCGGGAGCGACGCGCAGCACAGCGGAGCGGAGGCGGGCGCTTAGGCTCCGCGAGGGAGCCGCCGGGAGGGCCGAGGCCTGCTGGGGTGTCGGAGCGAGCGTCCGTCGGATGGCCCCGGGCCTCCGGCTTCGCAGCCCGTGCCCAGGTGTCGTAGCCAGCAGCTGTCGGCACGTGCTCGTCGATGCCATGCACCCACCGAGTCTTGGGGCGGGGGCGCCCAGGGCGCTGCTGGGCCGGCGTGCGCAGGTCCAGCTGCCGTGCGCAGGTCAGCATGGCGGCAGGGAGAGGAGCAATCGTGTAGCGATCCCGGGGCCGTGAGAAGCTGACGCAGCGATCTCGGGGCCGCGGGGCGATTTGCATCACGATCGTGCGACAGAGGACGGCAGGACAGAGCGGCAACCGAGGGCAACAGCATGGGGCCAGGCAGGCGGTGGCAGAGGCGGCAGCAGAGAGACAGAGAGAGAGAGAGAAAGAGAGAGAGATAAATATGTAGAGAGAGAGAGAGAGAGAGAGAGAGAGATGTAGAGAGACAGAGAGAGAAAAGAGAGAGAGAGAGAGAGAAAAACGGAAGATACCCAGACAGGAAGACCAGGGACCTGGGACAACATCAACCTCCATCTAGTGCGCTGCGCAAGCCTGCGAAACGTCCCACTCACCACCTTGAGCCTAACCTGGAGGAGCCCACACATCTACTTCTTGCTGCAGGTGGGCTTATGAGGAGGCCCGAAGGACCTGGAAGGTAGAGTGAAACAGGAGGGGGAGGAAGCGGAGGAGGAGGAGGAGGATAAGGAGGATGAGGAGGCGGGAGAGGAGAATGAGGAGGAGTATACTGACAATGGTTGGACGAGGGGTGGTGGGGGCGAAGAGGGCGGATGAGGAGTATGATGATGATAAGGAGTAGGAGGAGAAGGAGGACCAGGAATCCCAAGACTCATCAACGATGCTGCAATAAGACCTCCCTCCAAGCTCCCCCCTTCGTATGCTCCTATAAGGACCCACTTTCACTGAAAGACGTGGCCCATTGGAAGACAACCGTTTGAGAATCCCGAACTGTACTAGAACACTATTTCCGGGACTTCGTCGCCGCGAATTACCGTTACTGTTGCGTCTTGGCGATCCTGAATCTCGCCAGAACACCATTCCTGGGATTTCAACGCCACGAATCAACTTTTACTGTTGAGCCCTGACAATCCGACATCGTGCCCCAAAACCACTTCTGGGACGTTAAGAATGATACTCCTTGAAACTGCTTTGAACTCTCAAAACGACTGCGCGGTGCTATTGCGAGAACCACAATGTGAAAAAGAACCGCCCTCCATCACTGAAGATCTCTTGCAACCCTTCAAGCGAATGTGCGCAACGCTGAAGCGATAACCGCATTTCGGAAACGACCCACCCTCCATCCGTGAAACTTTTGCATTTTGTTCAACGAATGTGCGCGGCGCTGAGGTAAGAACCATCTTGTGAAAACGGCCCGCTCTCCATCCGTGAAGCTCCTGCATTGGACAACGCATGTGCTGTGCGCAGCGCAAAGGCGTGAAGCACACGTTGAAAACCACCCGCCATCCATCCGTGAAGCTGCTGCACATGTAGGCTTCAGAAACATCAACGGTGCAGAAATCTCGGACGGAACGCCGGGTCCGCCATTTCGATCGGCCTCGGGGTTCGACAGGAAGGAATTATTTTAAAAGAAAAGCATAAAGGAGGAGGAGGAGGAGGAGGAGGAGGAGGAGGAGGAGGAGAGAGGAGGAAAGGAGGAGGAGGAGGAGGCGGAGGAGGAGGAGGAGGAGGAGGAGTAGGATCAGAGGAGGAAGGAGGATGAGGAGGAGGAGGAGTAGGATGAGGAGGAGGAGGAGGATGAGAGGAGGAGGAGGATGAAGAGGAGGATGATGAGGAGGATGAGAAGAGGGAGGAGAGGGAGAGGATGAGGATGGGGAAGTAGGAGAGGAGGAGGAGGAGGAGGGGGAGGAAAAGGAGAGAGGAGGAGGAGGAGAGGAGGAGGAGAGGAGGAGGAGAGAGGAGGAGGAGGGGAGAAGCAGGAGGAGGAGGAGGAGGGGAGGAGGAGGAGGAGGGAGGAAGGAGAGGAGGAGGAGGAGGAAGGAAGGAGGAGGAGGAGAGAGGAGGGAGGCGGGAGGAGTAGGGGGAGGAGGGAGGAAGGGAGGAAGGAGGAGGGATGAGGAGTAGGAGGAGGAGGATGGAGGGAGGGAAGGGGGGAGGAGGGAGGGAGGGAGGGAGAGGGAGGGAGAAGGAGGAGCAGGAGGAGGAGGAGGAGCAGAGGAGAAGGAGGAAGAGGAGGAGGATGAGGAGGAGGAGGGGGAGGAGGATGCGAGGAGGAGGAGGAGGAACAGAGGAGGAGGAAGGAGGAGGATGAGGATGAGGGGGAGGAAGAGGAGGGGGAGAAGGAGGAATAAGAACATGAAAAGGAGGAAGATGAGGAGGAATGAGGAGGAGGAGGAGGAGGAGGAGGAGGAGGAGGAAGGAAGGAGGAGGAGGAGGAGGAGGAGGAGGAGGAGGAGGAGGAGCAGAGGAGGAGGAGAGGATGAAGAGGAGGAGGAAGAGGAGACGGGGGAGGGTGGAGGAGGAGGGAGGGAGTGGGAGGGAGGAGGACAGGGAGGAGGAGGGAAGGGGAGGAGAGGAGGAGGGAGGAGGGAGGAGGGAGGGAGGGAGGGTGGGGAGGGAAGGGGGGAGGAGGGATGGAGGGAGGGAGGGAGGGAGGGAGGGAGGGAGGAGGAGGAGGAGAAGGAGGAGGAGGAGGAGGAGCAGGAGGAGGAGGAGGAGGAGGAGGAGGAGGAGGAGGAGCAGAGGAGGAGGATGATGATGAGGAGGAGGAGGAAGAGGAGGACGGGGGGAGATGACGGCGACTCCACGCGGGAGCGCGAAGGGAGGGTGCTCAAAGTGAAACAGAGCGGGCGGGCAGGAGAGCTGGCAGGGGCAGGACAGAGTGCAGCGAGAGAAGGTGGCGATGGACTGGGCGGGGAATAGCAAGGCGCAGTGGGCCAATATGACAGGGCAGCTGGAATCGCAGCAGTTGGCGATGCTAGCGAAGCCGATGGCGTCCTCAGGCTGTGAGGGAGGGTCTGGAGAGTCTCCGAATTCTCGGAGGCGAAGCCGCGGCCCTGAGACTGCCGCGCGGCGGGCTGCCGATCCATCGGCGACGACGTCAATGGAAGAAGTGCCCTTCCCCAAACGATGCTTGCACGTGATTCTGACTCTCCTTCTGATAAGTATTTGGACGCCCGAAATGGGTACGGAAAGACTGGGCACAATGCCCAACAGCAAATGTTGTCCCGAACCAACAGCGGCCGCTGTTGGGCAGGCGGCCTTCTGTCTCGAATGGACACGGGCCGCGGCGGCATGCGAGTCCTCTTCAGAATGAACAAGATCCGCTGTTGGGCATTTTGCCCATTCTTTCCGAGCCCATCTCGTTCGTGCAGAAGATAATCGGCGGTGGACGAACCTCCCTTTAGTAAACCTCCCCTGAATGAAAACGGCCTGGGACCGACACCGACGGCCTTGGACCCGCAAAAATGACGGCCGCGACGCCCTCTCGCGAACCGAAAACGGCCAATTCCTTAATCGACGTGTCAGGGTAGGAGGTCTAACCCGGGTCAGCCAGAGGGGGTCTTCGCAGGATCCTGCAGGATCTGGTGCCCTGGCTGACCCCCGTTTGCATTGACCCCCGTCTCAAGGCTCCCGAGGCCCGAAACCGACGGACAGACGGCCTGGGACCGAAACCGACGGACCTGGACCCGCAAAAACGACGGCCGCGACGCCCCCTCGCGAAGCGAAAACGGCCAATTCCCTAATCGACGTGTCAGGGTAGGAGGTCTGTCCACCCCCGAGATAAGCAGCTGGGAGTGAGTGAGGGGGGAGGGAGGGAGGGAGGGAGGGAAGGATGGAGGAGGGAGGGAGGGAGGGAGGGGGGAGGGAGGGAGAGGGAGGGAGGGAGGCAGGAGGCAGGAGGGGGAAGGGGGGAGGGAGGGAGGGAGGGAGGGAGGGAGGGAGGGAGGAGGAGGAGGAGGAGAGGAGGAGGAGGAGGAGAGGAGGAGGAGAAGAGGAGGAGGAGAGGAGGAGGAGGAGGGAGGGAGGGAGGGGGGAGGGAGGAGGGAGGAGGGAGGAGGGAGGAGGGAGGAGGAGGAGGGAGGAGAGGAGGATGGAGGAGGAAGAGGAGGAGGAGGAAGAGGAGGAGGAGGAGGAGGAGAAGGAGGAGGAGGAGGAGGAGGAGGAGGAGGAGGAGAGGAGAAGGAGGAGAAGAGGGAGGAGGAGGAGGAAGAGGAGGAGGAGGAGGAGGAGGAGGAGAAGCCTGGGCCCCAGAAGTGCGGGTCCGGCCGGCTCTTCTCGCCGCACGGGCCGCCCGCCGCCCTCGGGCCCCGGAGTGTGGCGGAGTCTGGCCGGCTCTTCGCCGCCCGTGGCCGCCGTCGCCGCAAGGGGCCCCGGCGTCGGTGCGGCCAGCGCGTCGTCGCCGGCAGTCGCCGCAAGAACGGTTTTCTGAAGGCAGATCTGCCTTCAAAAAATTGTTTTTTGAAGGCAGATCTGCCTTCAATGTAAGAACGGTTTTTTGAAGGCAGATCTGCCTTCAAAAAACCGTTCTTACAGAAGGGGCCCCGGCGTCGGTGCGGCCAGCGCGTCGTCGCCGGCAGTCGCCGCTGGGCTCTGGCGTTATGATGTTCCAACCTACCCTACTCTAGCCTTGATCACCCGAATGAATTTCGAGCACCCAGCAGACACCCCCCAAAACTTGGGTTTTTTCGCGTGTCGGGCCCTGGGAGACACTCCTTCGACGCCGTTTCGACACTCTTTCGGCACTTTTCTGGGGGCTCGAAATTATTTCTGGGATATGGTCCTTGAGTGCGATGGGAGCAACATAACCCTGGTGGCGGGTTCTTTCAGTCTCGTCACCGCCCGACGCCACGTTGTGACTACCTACCAGACCACCCCAACCCAACCCGAAGACGCGAATTTCGGGTTGGGGGGGTATGGGCTCCATACGTGTTTTTTCGATGTTCCCCGACCCCCCCCCCACTGGAAATGGAGGGCAAATTGAGGCCTTCGGGTTGGGTTGGGGTGGTCTGGTGAGTGGTGACGTTGCTTTGAATTGCTTGCTTTGCCTTGCTTTGCATTGCACCACACGGATTGTACCATATTGATTGCACCACCTAGATTGCGATATTGGGAGGAATCACAGTTTGAGGTGCACACTGGCTAACAGATGGACTTTCATGGCCGGGGGGGGGGTGATTGTCGGTGGGGATCTGCGCGGCGGTGAACTCGACGTGTTGAACGCACGAAGGGCACTCGATGTAGCGGGCGTCCTGGCATCCATACGCATGTGGGGTCTGAACGAGACACTTTCGTGTGACAGGACAGGTGCTCCAGACAAGCCCACGCGCGAGCCGGCGGGACGGCAAGATCGACCCTCGGGCCCACGCCTCGCGGTGCAGCTGACTCCGAGGCCGACGCAGCACACACACGGTGAAGAGTGCCCTTCCGCACCAGGCGAGCTCAACGATGATCGATCGCCCCTCGGAGCGCCCCCGGGGGCTTCCCGGAGCCCCCAGCCGCGGCGGCGAGACGACCCCCCAATGGCTCCGAGGAGTAGGCTTAGGTCGGGCGTGTCCCCCTACAGGGGGATTTTCGACGAAAAATAATAAGTACTCCAAACATGCCCCAAAAGGGCAACACAAATACTCAAAAAGTAGTCCCCAGACTATTTTTGGACTATTGTTTGGTTACTTTTTGGGGTATTTTTTATTTTTCGTCGAAAATCGCCCTGTATGGGGACACGCCCGACTTAAGAGTAGGCAGGCAAGCGCAGGGCCAGGCGGGATCTGTGAGCCTCCCGTCCGGGGAGCGCGACGGCCTCAGCGCTCCGCCGCGCCCGCGCGCCCCTCCAGGCTGCCGCCCTTCTTGCTGCTCAGCTTGTTCAGGTCGATGCGGGTGGTGTCTCTGGGCACGAACGTCTTCGCGTCCTGCAGGGCTCCATGTTCGCCACCTTGAGGGCGACGTCCTCCCCGCTGTCCAGCCGGACGGTCCAGCGGCCGGAGTCGGCGTTGAAGTCTCTGCACCGGGGGGCGCCACCTGTGCAACCTACACTGGGGAAACCAAAAGGTACCGATGCTGCTACTCTCAGGTCGCGGCATGTCCTCCTACGGGCGAATTTTGAAGCAAAAAGTAGGACATAGCCAAAACATATTCACAAATGGTCAAATATAGTTGAAATATCGTACCGAGATTTTTGTTCAAAAAGATAAAGCTATTTTTGAATATTCCTCCTGTAGAGGGACATGCCCGACTTAACGCTACTCCCTTGACCTCTCCCGAGGTGCGTTCTGACCAGAACTTCGAGGCGAGTCCAGCGGTGGCGACGAGGGCCTCCCCCGAGGCCGATAAAAAGGCCAAAAGCGAGGGAAGGGTGGCGGCATCGGTACCTTCCCTCCTCTGAGGCCCATCCTGGCGATCAGACCAAAATTTCGAGGAGAGTCCAGCGATGGCGACGAGGCCCCCCTCCGAGGCCGACAAAATTGCAAAAGCGAGGGAAGGGTGGCGGCATGGGTACCTTTCCCGCCTCTGAGGCCAATCCTGGACCCCGGATCGGCGAGCACGCCGTTCTGGATTTAGGTCGGACGTGTCCTCCTACAGGCGCATGTAGGAAGACAGTCAAACACATCGAAACCAAATTCAAAAACAGCCACAAATAATCAGTCGACAAATCGTCCCTGGACTATTTTTCGACTGTTCTTGGACCTTCCTCCTGTGGAGGGACAGGTCCGACTCGACTCTGGCGCGGCACGCGCGCCGATCTCCCGGGCCCGGGCCCGGCCTGGCCGGGTGCAGGTGCCCGGCGGGTGCCCCCCGACCTGCACGTGGCCTCCTTCCCGTTGAGCTCCGGCTTTCGGGGGAACGAAAAGTGACATACACATAGCAACTCGGAGGTCCGCGCGGATTTCTCGGATCTGCGCTGGTTCCCCCTCTCCCTGGCGCGCGGAGAGCGCGCCAGGGGCGGCGCCGGAGGCGCCGCCGGGGGGGGCCCGGCGCCGAGCCGAGAAATCCGCGCGGACCTCCGAGTCTTTTTGTGCTTGTGTCACTGTTCGCTGCCCGAGGCTTGGCCTGCAGCCCTCGCAGGCGCACGCGCGCCCCGGCCGCGATCATGCCCGGCCGGGGCCGGCCCCGCGCAGCGAGCGGGCCCCAGGCGAGCGAGTGACCTCTCGGGGTGCGCCGCGGTCGGGGGCCGCGGGGGAGGCCGGGTGCCCGCCGTCCAGGGGCGACGGCCCTGTTTCGGCGGGGACCTCCTCCTCCTCCTCCTCCAGCTCCTCCTCCAGCTCCTCCTCCTCCTCCTCCTCCTCCTCCTCCTCCTCCTCCTCCGCCTTCTCCTCCTCCTCCTCCTCCGCCTCCTCCGCCTTCTCGTGGGCCCGCACTGACAAGGTCACTTCCTCGAACTCGCCGTCGTTCGGGCGTTCATTCCCCGTGCATGTTTCGGTTTCGTTTTTTGTTGTTGTTGTTGTTGTTGTTCTTCTTCTTCTTCTTCTCCTTCTTCTTCTTCTCGCAAGGTGATCCAAGGTGCTGCTCGTCGAGACAAGACGCACGTCCGAGCGATGCCAAGCGAAAGGTCACTCTTGCGCGCAGCCGACTGGGGCGAGGCGGCCCGTGCTTCGGCTGGGGGGGGACGCCAGCCTCCAGCACTCCGAGCCGGCCCTGCCGAGCAGGATGGCTGCGATGCCGAGAGCAGCGACGCCGACGATCGTGAGCGGGAAGTCGTGTCATACGACGAGGCCAAGACAAAAACAACGTCGGACCAAGACACATCGGGGGTCTCCGAGATCCGGCGGCTCCGGAGGATGAACCAGAGAATAACGACGCCGAGGATCGCGAGCGGGAAGAGACGTGTCGCACGACGAGGCCGAGACAGGGGCAGCAGCAGACCGGGACGGAGTCGGGGTCTCCGAGATCCTGCGGCTCTGGAGGACGAGCCGGGCAGAGCGGCCGCTCCAGAGCGCTCCAGCACCTCCCGGGAGAGCGCTGCGGGGCGCCCATGGGGCGGCCTGTCGCGGTCGAAGCCCCGCCCGATGTCGGGCAGGAGCAGCCACCATATCACGGTCGGGTGGAGCACGGCGGACCAGGAGGCCTTCAAAGAAGGGATCCCTCAAAGAAGGGATGCCTTCAAAGAAGGGAGGCCTTCAAGGAAGGGAGGCCTTCAAGGAAGGGAGGCCTTCAAAGAAGGGATGCCTTCAAAGAAGGGAGGCCTTTAAAGAAGGGAGGCCTTCAAAGAAGGGAGGCCAAAGAGGGCAGACCTCCAAGGAGGCACGCCTTCAGAGAAGCACCGCTGAGCGAGGACAACTATACTCAGCCTTGCAGTGTCTTCTGGCTGCGTGGGCGAGGAGCCTACATGGAAGCAAACAACGCCAGAAACATGAACTTTTGGCGCGCCGCGCAGATCTGCGCTGAACCCTCTCCTTGGCACGCGGAGCGCGCCAGGGGCGGCGCCGGAGGCGCCGCCGGGTGGCCCCAGCGCGGATCCAATAACTCCGCGCGGAACGCCAACAGTATATGCTTATGGCGTTTTTTCTTTTTCGAGCACAGGGGCATCGTTGATGGAACTCCGCCGCCGTGCAGCAAGCGCTGAGTGGGAGTGTCCTCGAAGCCCCTGCGAATCCTCCGCGCCGAGTCGAAGAGAAGTGCTCTTTCGAAGGCCCTGGGCCCGCTCCTGCGGGCGCTCCTGGGGCAACTCTCGCGCGACTTTTCTGGGGTCCTCGGGAGCGTGGTTGCGATTCCGCACTTTTTCCGTCGGCGGCGAGGCAGAATTGGCTGCACCAGCGAAGGAGCTAGACGGGGGCACCGGGAAGCGAATTGGCCAGCGTGCAAGCGTGGGAAAAAGAAACGGTTGCGATTCCACTTCCAACGTGGCCTCATGTGGTTTATTCCCGAAGCCCTGGACCCACAAATGTTCTCTCAACTCCTGGGGGCGCATTTTGTACTTCCGCAACCTTCCGCCGCCCTTCCGCCGACTTCCGCCGGCGGAGGCCCTTCCGCCGCGGAAGAAATGATAACTCCTTCGGTCCTCGAAAGTAAGGCCGTGTTTGGAACGCCTCATATGGTCTCAGGGGCCATCCTGGAGCCCTCTTGGGCCGTCTTGAAGGCCCTAGAGTAGTCTGGCCCCGAAGGCCAAAAACTATTGAAGAACCTAAACAGTTTGTCGACTGATTTTCGTCTTCTCGCCTTCTCGGTCATAAGAGCGCCCAAGAAGGCCCAACAGGATCCCAACATCGACCCAGGGGGGTACCCGAGGCACCCAGCCAAACCCAAGAAGACACCAAGCGTCCCACAAGAGGCCCCCCCAGAGACCCCCCGAAGGCCCCAAACACGCATCCAAAGGCCTCTCGACAAGCCTCCTGAGAGACCCTAACTCGCCATCGCTTGGACGTCCATTCCCTATGTTTTTTTTCGGTTTCGTGCATGGTTTTTTCGCCAAATGATCAAGGATGCTCCTCGATGGTCCTCGCCGAAAGAAAAATGCACACGTCCGAGCGATGCCAAGCTAAGAACCCTGCTGCACACTTTCCGGGTCAATCGGACTTTGCCCTCAGAAGTGCAGATCTAGGACATCACGACGTGCTCATGGCGTGTGCCGCCGGATATGTCGCCAGGGCAAAGCTCAGAAAAAAGGATCCTGCGCCTCTGCGCGCATCACATACACACTGTTGCTCATACGCACGCGCGCACACTCTCATCTTCACGTCAAAGCTAGTGAGTGCACATGCCCGTGTGCATATCCAACAGCTCTTTTGCATGCGTACGATCGCGAACCCATAATTGTACCTGCGTTTGCACGTTCACCTTGTACAACGACTGAGCGGATGCCAAAACACATGGTCGCACGCACACGACACATGTACACATCTTATACGTTCATCAACCCACACGCATATCACCTGCATACGCGCATCCAGTATGCATGTGCGGTCACACCATGATCGTGAACGCGTGCAGATTTACATGTATGCTTGCAACCTTGCGAGCATTTGGCGGGAGGGAGGGGTGAGTGGAGAACGGGGTTCGGGTTGCAGATGCATCGCACCATTTTGCACATGGTATGTGCGCCGCCACGCCATGTGTGGCAAGACATGGTGGTAGTCCTCCAACTTGAACCACATGAAGAGGTCCAAGGCGGTTGCTGTCACAATCCAGTCGGTCAGAACTCGCAGCTCGTGGAGGAAGGGCGTAAGTGAATATATCCTGGTAGCAGATACCATACACACTCTTCAACAACAAACACCATACGCGACTCTCCTCACAAACCTCTGGCCAGACCGCGGACGACTATGATCTTAAGCGAGGGGGCACTGGCAATCGAATAGCTCAAGGAAATAGCCACCACACATGAGACGATGGGTGCCTCTCAATGTGGACGGGGCCTTCCTTCGATTCCCGTGGGGGGTCCTTTCGCTGGCCCTCCCAGGGTCTCAAACAAGTGTGGCAAGTGTAACTGCGGCTAGAATCATCCAGGGACGAGGCGCGCCGACCCGCTGGACGGCCTCGGGGCCAGAGAAGTGGATGGCGCCCCGCTGGCCAACCTCCCCCAAGAGCCCAGAACATGGCGGCGGTTGTCCATGTGGCAGCGCGCAGCAACCCGCTGGACCCCCCAGTGGGTGCGAGGAAATCGAGGCAGGTGTGTTTGGGGTACGCAGGGGGGCGGGGTCCACTCTGGGTCTGCGCGCGACACCCAGCACGCAAGGACTCTGACTGCAATTACAACTCCACCTCGTTCCTCTCCCTCCCCCGTCGTAGGCAGGAGGGAACAGTCTGAAGAGGAGAATGTAGCAGCGGAGACGCTGCCGAGTTCCTGCAGTACAGCCAGGATGCTAGGATGCTGGAAGCATGCAAGAACAACTTGCGAAACAACATCAAATGTTGACATCTGCACTCCGCCATTAGTGTATATATATATATACACATTAACATATACACAATAATGCGTTGGCGCTTTGTGCCACACACCTAGGTCCTTCAAGCCTCGCATCTGTTCGCACTTGGCGTCGTCCCCTTTGGCCTTTGAAATGTGGACGTTTCCTGTCAAATCCCTCTACCAATCCTCATTTGCTCTCGCCCTCGATTTACATATTCGCGCGCCACCCGGATCTTTCTCGGCGTACGTTTTGATGCGAATTTCGAGGCGGACCCGATGACGTGGCTACGAGAACGCCACCTGTAGGTTCCGAAAAAATGTTGACCCAAAATTGCGTGCCTTCTTCGCTGGATCCTGCACCGGCAAATGTCGTAACAATCTGCGCGTCGATTCTTGACACCGCTTGGATCATTCAACCGTGAACGATCGCGAATTCGCGTTCAACACCAGCCGGTTCCTGACCACTGACCGCGTTCATTCCGAACGCCCGCGCCAGGTCGCCGCCGCGTCGACACGATGTAAACCTACCGTTATGGAGGAACAACTGTTTCTGGGGGTCGTTTTCTCTACTCTGGGATCTGTTTTTCAAGCCCTTCGGGTCGCAGCGGCTCTTGGAGGCCGACTTCGAACCAAAACCTTCGAAGATTGCAGAAGCTCCATGAGGGCTGGCGGCTTCCAGCGGCTCCCAACGGCATACAACCGACAAATATATGAGCCATCCGTAGTCCCTGAAGAATTAGGTGTTGAACTCCAACGGTGAAAATGCTTCCGCCTAAACTATGTGATGTGAGCATGTTGTGGCAACCGTGTGGTGTGAGCTATGCGGCGAATACGCTTCGATGTTAGCTATGTGGTGGTAACTGTGTTGTGTAAACTATGTAACGCGGGTGATGTGGTGATACCTGCAGCATGGGAGCTATGTGGTGCAAGACAGGTGATATGAACCATATGTTGGGAACGCCGCTGTGGAAACTACGCGAAGAGAAAAACCACCAGTGTCAGCCGTGTGATGTGGGGCTCACGAGCGCCCGCGGTGCGGCGCGAGCGGGCACGTGACGAACCTTCGGCCGACGCACTCGAGATCCGAACACGAACGCCGCAGCAGGGAACCCTACAGTGCGGGCGCGGCCGCAAGAAGCCCTCGCAAGGAACCCAACCCTGAAAACCCGCGCGCGAGGGGCACCGGAGGGGAAACCCGGAGCACCTTGAACGCAGCAGCTTCTTCAACGGTTGCGGGGAGTCACCGCGCAGCGCGCGGAGCGAAGAAACCCAGGATGCCCTGACGAAAAGCATATGGTTTCTTGACGCGCGTCCTTACTGTAGTGCAAGCGCCGTCTGGAGAACCTGCGGAAAGTCATTCTTCGTTCCCTCGAACCTCCATTTGTCGATCCTTCCCTTCGGTCCTCGTCCTCCTCGCCGCCCCCTCCCGCGGATTCGCCGTGCCCCCCTCTGTTGATCTTGGGCGACCAATGCAGGAACGATGCAAGAAACCGGGGGCCCAACGAAGGCCTCTTAAAGGCTTCGGGGACCTCTGGACGCCTCCCGGGCGCCCATCTGGGCCGTCTTAAGGGTCCTTTTGAAACTCGTTTTGGGCCGTCTTGGGTCCCTCTTGGGCCGTGCTGGGGCCTTCTCGGGGAATTTGGGCCCTCTACGGGCCTTCTTGAGACCATCATGGGCCCTCCTGTGGACCTCCTATGACCCTCGCGGATCTCTTTTGGGAGCCTCTGGGGGCCTCGTGAGCTTCTTCTGGGCCGTCTTGGGGCAGTCTTGGGCAGTTGCGCACATGGGAGTTTCCAGGAAGTCAATGTTG